GGAAAATCAGAGCTGACTGCAGTAATTCAATCTCCTTTTCCCCGTTTTGGAGCGATAAAGCATGCATGATGCTGCTTGACACTCTTATTTGTAAGACAAAGTAGAGGTCAAATTTGTTGAATGTTTTCCAAATTCCAGTGAGGTTTATCACAAAGAGCCCCATGCACAGGCCCAAGTGGCGTGACTGACAAGGGCTGGATTGTGAAGTCACTAGAAAGCTCAGTTTCCAGCCAGGGCTGATGGGCCAAATCATGTTCTTTGGGGCAAAACCAGATGGAAAGCTACAACTGTGCAGAGAGACTCCAAGGAGTCTTCTGACACCAGACTCCATTGTGAAGAGCTGGGTTTTCAGGCTTCAAGGAAAAAGTGCTTTCATGCAGCACTGTCCTCTACCAGCACCACCCTGCCTAGGTCTGATGAGAAAGAGCTTGGAACTCAGCCCGTGGGGCAGGCAGGAGGCTGCTGCTTTCCCTCCCCCAACCCTGACATCTTCCCAAGATCTCTGCAGCCTCTGTGGAAGAGAAGCTGTTGGGTTTTCTTTGCCAGCTTCCTGTCCAAAGAAGTGCAGGAAAAATGTTTCTTTTCCGCAGCAAGTGCTGACAGGACCAGCAGAAACTTGTCCAGGGCAGATTGGCAGAAGTGCCCACCAGTACGCCATGAGTGAGGAACCGGCTCAGTTTCCCCCACCCGACTCAGACACCAGCCTCCAGGGCTGCTGCTGGCACTGAGTGTCTCTGCTCACACTGGAGGACTGACACTATGGAGAATTCCTTGTGCCCTGACGGGCTTACCTGCCAGCGCATTTCAGCCTCCCGGCCCAAAGCCAGAGGGGCAGGATTTGGTATTAATTTGGCTAAGCCTCATTATTTCAACAGAGACAGGCCAGCACCTGTCCTAACACTCAGAACAGAAACTACATCTGGAGCAGGAACAAAGATGAGACCTGCAAGGTGGGCTCAAAATCAAGAGTCTTCCCCCACTATTAAAGTTTGGAGCCAGGCTCACAGCTCATGCATCTCCATGGACACTTGGAAGAGAGGATTATGGCCACATTTGCACAATCTTCCTTAAGATGCTCCCAAGAATATTTAAGCAAAAGCTCTAATGGTGTGTGCTGTCCAGGTGAGGGAAGGGCAGGGAAGAGATGAGAGGAAAGCACCAGATCTCTCAGGTGAGAGGCATATGCCCCTACCCAGTAAGCAGAAGGTATCAGAAGTTGGGGTATATGAGTACATCGGACAGAACTGACTGCTTGGGAGCTGTGTGAGAGCTCTTTTCACTCTGTGGTGGTTGCTGAACAGCGGGGCATTGCTTCTTTTTCTGGGTTTTTAAGCACTGTGGAAAACCAAATGAAAATACAGCTTAGACCACATACATGAACACAGGTCTGATGACTTTTCAGGTAGGCTACAAGTGCCACATATTGCAGGAGAAAATGTGGCTGTGTTCTTGTGAATTACTAAATTTACAAGATGTGACTTCAGCCACCGATCTATCTGCTTATCTCCTCCTAACTGCCACAGGAACACTGTTCCCAAACACAACAACATCTTACAACCATACCATTCCTGCAGGTCTTTAGTATGCAACTGAATAGATAAAACTTGGAATTAATCTTGGTCCCAAAAGGAAATAAATGGTCTGCAGAAGGGCTAAAATATCATTCACATTTAGGCAGTTAACCAAAAGATTTTCCCAGTTTTAAGGAAAAGACTCCAAGTAACTAAAATTTTCCATAGTAGCTGTTTTGCCTTCTACAGTCTAGGGCTGATTTTACAGCAGAAAAGAAAGTTCAAGGACTAAGACACTTGGATAAATTATCATTAGCTCTTTTTCACAACCTTTCTGTGTGACATTTGGAATATCACTTACACACTTGCTGTAACCATTCCCAATGTATGAAATGGGGATAACAGCACTTCTTTACTTCCACTGTGGATCAAAAGGATAAGCATACGAATAATTTCATTAAACAATATGTTCGGAAAGAAATACCCTACACAGTCTGACCCTGGCAAGTACAGCCAAATAGAACCAAACAGAGGAAGTGAAAATGGAAAAGACTCACAACTCTTCTGTGAAGAAGAGGAAGCACAGGTTCCTCATTGCCGCTTCTTCTAGCACGCTTACCCAGCATTATCTTGAGAATCTTGTCTTCTTTGAGGAGTCAGAGACTAACAACTGCAGCTGAATTCCTCTCCCTGAGCTTCCCACCACACCAACTAGACAGGAAGCTTCTAGAAGAGAAAGCTCTGTGTGCTGTGGGAAACCACAGCCGGGACTGCCACTCTTACGTCTGGCACAAACAGTAACCACCTCTGCTTCTTTCCTGTGCCTAACCTGGGATGATCATGAGTTCAACACTGTGACATGCAATTGGCTTTTGCTACCTGACAATGGTCTCATGACCCTTGAGGTTATCCAAAGTCTCCTGTAGTAGACTGGAGAACTGAAGGAATACTTTCCCTTGTGGCACAGTAACTAAATATTACTCTGCCTGTTAGCAGCAACACTGTGCCAAGGATTTGTTTCACTCTGCTCGTCACTTGCACTTGCAGAGAGGTTTGTAGAAGGATCAAATCCGTGTGTCTGGTGAGCTCCTGCACATCAGATACAGGAATAGGCTGTGTGCTTATGCTCCGCCAAGTTTGTGAGGTGAAGTGGCAATTTGAAAGCACAAGGAAAAAGTAAAAAATCCAGTACTGTCCTGCTTAAATGTACGAATCAAAAATTGGAAGAAGCATTTGATTTTGAAGCATGGTATCAAGTTTTCTAGATAAGAAAAAGCCACAGAGTGAGCAGCTTGTGTGCCACTGCTGCTGGTTGCTCTGTATCATCCTTGCATTTAGACCAATAATCTTATGAACAGCATCACCTCCATGTATTCCTGCTAATCTCTACTTTTCACAGCACCAATTGCCCTGCAGTATAGCTGAATTCTTTCACTTTTGTTTTTTTTTTTTTTTCCCATTGTATCCAAAGAAGGGAACAGAGAGATGACAAAAGTGTGCATAAAGCACACTCCAATGTGCCTGCCTGACAGCAGTTTTATTAACTTACCCTTCCAGCCACAATCAGTTAAATACAAAACCAACTCACATCCTTTACACACTCAGAAACGGAAATCCACATGTTTATATTCAAAATCTGAGTTTAAATAAACCAGTGGTCAAATCTTGCCATCTTACAGTGTCTGCAAGGCCAAATTTGTATTTGCAGAAAACTTTCCCCTTCCCCCATCCCACTGCCCCCACAAAAACCTTGCTGCCAGCTCTTCCAAGATGACAGGGTCAGCCATCGGTGCTGAGACTCAACCATGATGGTGTGCTGGTGCTCTCCTCACACACACACACACACTGATCTTCTGAAGCTTACAACTGAGATCCAACATTCACTGCACACTGCAGCTTGGCATACAACGCCATTTCCAAACAAACCAAAGCAAACTTACCACTGCTTCTCAGCTGTGAGACATCAGGACTTGATTTATGCTGGTTGCAATTTAACTTTCAACCTTCAAACCAAGATCCCTTCCCATCCACTTTAAATATTCTGCAGCGAAGGTTTTTTACCCTCCAGTCGCCATTTCTCATGGAGTTGCCTTCCAGCACCTTCCCGCCATACCTGTGGGTACTTATGCAGAACCTAACTTTGCAAACCCTCCCTTGGGACAGATCCTGCAAAAGTTGTTCCAGTGATTCCATTGCCAGCAGACAGGCACTTCCAAGGCTGGGTAACACCCTTGCTCTTCCATTCTTCTATGGAATCTGTGTGTGGAGGTCTGTATGTAGCAACACTCAGCTCTTTACTCTGGTCTTGGCTTGTGCAAGCAGACTGATCAACAGTGTTTTATGTGTTAGCTGAACTCCCTGCAAAAAAGGCCAAGTCCTTAAAAATAAAACAGAAGGAATGCTGTGGTACTGCATTACAGTATTTTAGCTCTCAAAAATTTTGCTGTGTTTTTTTAGGCTAATGTTCTAACATCACAGATGTTCCCTTTCTTAAAATGGAGGGAATGATCAGAGCACCATTACTCTTAGCTGGGAATTTATTATCAGGTCTTTATTTTTTAAAAGAATGCAGAATTTTATTCTTTGGCACACAATGTTTTTTCATTTGATAAGAGGATAAAAGTTGGCATGCAGTCTGGTTTCCTTTGCTAGTCAAAAAACATACCTGTACATTCAGTTTAATTGTATCACATACTGAAAGGAGGAAAAATTCCATGGCTTGAATTCACAGATGTATTCTCCAATATTTAAAAATTCGTGGCTTTGCTTGTGTGTTTATGCTACAATGCACCATTTTACATCCTAACACTCAAATGATTCATCCAAGATACTGCAAAAAAACTGGAATGCTTTAAATACACCATCAGGTTCATGTACTTTCAGTTCTGCCAAGCTTCTTCTCTACATACAACTAGAGAACATTTGAGACACTTGGACTTAGCCCTGCATCACCAACAAAATTCATGTGGCAGAGAAGTAAATTGAACAGAAACAAAAAATGGCACAATTTGTCATTGTCACTTGAAACTTAAGACTAAAATTTTTTTTTTTCCAGAATGCTGCATTTTAACAACCACTGATTCTCTCTTAATGTCAAAGCATTGATACTTCACTTACATTGTAACATCACTCTGATCAATGAAGCTTTAATGCCTAGCCATCAAACACCATATCTAGTAAAAATGAAGTGTATGGAGACTAAGTTGTTTCTCTCCTGGATAAAACTTCTACTTAGCAGCCACGGAACATCAGACAAGGTACTACACTGTACTGACCACACATCTCAGGTGAGTAAAACAATTCAGACCTCAGCTCACACCTCCGGACAGCTTGGGAGATGGAATAACCCAGGAGCAACCTGCTCCAGTCTGACCCTCAGAGGATGCCCCAGGCTGTATCCTGCCCTGCTCTGTTGGGTGCAACTCCAATATCCTCCCCACAGTCACTGCATCCAGGCAGGAAAACTACTGTAAGCAAGAGGACGATGGCGCCAGGAAGAAATGTGCAAGTTTTATTTTTAAACGTCATTGGACTGGAAAATAAAGAATCATATGGCTTATTGATATTTCAGGAGATAGTAGTGAATAAGTTAAAGAAGATTTCATTCCAAAACATATGTTGCTTCATTTATAGCTAAGCTAATGTAGACACATATTTTCTTATTTTTGTAAGTGTTGAACCACCACGTTTTTCCCCCCAAAAAGATTTCCAAGTTGGCACTTTCTACAAAGTTGTTGTGGACTAAAGGCTTACAAATAGTGATTTTTTTGAATAAGAAATATTCATCAGACCCAAACACAATTACTTAAATCAAATTCTTCCTGAGCAACTTAGAATTTGGAATGTGCTGAAAAGTTTCAATAAATAAGTCAAAGATTTACCAGCTTATAACGTACCTTTTAAAAGTTAAGCAAAATACATTTAATTACAGAGAAACAGGCCATAGGACCAGGAATATTAGACGCTATGTGCCAGATAAATTTAAGAACTACCATTTGAGGAGGAGAGGCCAGGTTGATTGTTACGAAAATACAACAATATTAAAACCTAGCGAGTAAATCACGAAGCAGCTTCTGTATTTAGATTATAAGTAGTGATGGCTGAAGATACCATTAAATAAACAAACAGATAGAAACAGACTTTACTGTAAGCGGCAGTGAACTCTCAGGAAGGGTGAATGTGTTAAGTGACTATATTCTGTTAAAACACTGGCAGAAAAAGGATTGAAACAGAATTTCAGAAACATGAGAATACTAGTTCTTTCCAAAATATAACAACTCCACAGTGTGTAAACTAATCATTACTCTTTCAATGTAATTTCATAGAAACCACTTAAAATATACAATGCAGCAGATTCATATTTTAGCTACTATGTTAGTTACTACCTGTGCCATTTTCAGCTTTCTTTCATGTGCTCCCCCACAGTAGTGCATTGCTACCACCAACCTGGATGTTAATAATGAGAACAGAATCTTCTTCCTAGTATTTTCTGTAAGTTAGCATCTTGTCCTAAGTCTCCTTTATTTTCATTCTTTGTGTACAGGTAAAGACTGAGGAGTGAAGAAGATCGATCATAATTTTTATTGGCTCTCAGCAGGCTCATGGAAGAGGAAACACGTGGGAAGCCCATTTGAGCTGATCCCGAGTTTATATGCTTCATCCATCACAAAATAACTTTTGCCTGACGTAGCAAACTGAAGTATGGCCTTGCAGAAAGCGGCCATGGAATAGGAACCAAAAATTTTCTGGTAAATGTTTGAGAAAGGATGTGAGATAGACAGAGGTGGACTGTCCTCATCCTGGCAAGCAGCTGCAACATCTTGTACCTGCTTCTTTCCTGTGCTCTGGGGACAGGAATTTATTGCTCTTATTCTCTATTAGTCCAGCTTTCTCTGGCAACAATGGTGCATAAGAGGCCAAGGCCTCATCAAGACCCCAAACTCCCCCTATTCTGCTGTGCAGCAGAATGCCAAGGAGCTCTGCCCAGGGCTGCCTGTCAGTCTGTCCCTTCTGCACCTCCAGGGCTGGCAGGCTGGCCAACAGCCAGCACACCCACATCACAGGGAATCCCACTCCAGGAAGACCCATCTGAATAACTCCAGCACCTCACACAGTGGTGCTACTTCTCTTTCACCAGTTTCCACTGATCCCTTTTCTAGTGTTGGCAGATAATATTTGTAGTGATTAACAGGGGCAACTTTCACAGTGACTCTTTTTCAAACCTATCACTGAATCAGCTTTGGTTTTGGAGAGCACATCTTCTTGTCTTTGTTTGATGATTCGGAACTATTTCAACTAGAGAAGCTGTGTATGCTTATATTGTTAATTTTCCTTCTAGCCACACTAAAAGCAGGAGTTTGGTGTTTGTGCTGGTGGGGAAGCTGCGTTCAGATTTAGATGTGAACAATTAAATTCTGCAGTTGCAGAAATACAGGTCGTGCTTAATAGGAGCTCCAGATCACCCCACCTTTTTCATGAGTAGCTTTTTCTGCATCTCTTTGGATTTGTGACCCAAAAGAATGATAAAAATCTAAAAATACCATTCTTGAACATAAACCCCATATGTTACACCTTTTCCTTTAGAGTTTCATAGAAACATACTCAACTGTTGCCATAAAGCTCAGCTTGGCACTTTACATTTGTAGTTGCCATTCACTGACCTGGTAATTTTCCCACTCTATGAACTAGAAGGTTTTACCATAAATATCTGGTTCCTGTAGCTTGCCTTACACTCACTAGTACTGATTTGGTAGAACAGCAGCCTCACTCCTCTGGCACAGGTAATTCAAGGAGCTGTTACCTAGCCTCTTCCTGAGCCTGGTATCCTTGGATTTGAAGACAAAGCAATGGCTCTGACCATACCACTAGGATATCAGTGTGCTTTGCACAGAACGAGGCACTCCTCCCAAATGGCTCACTGCCTGTAGTTCATGCCACAGTGTTATGCTATGAAGACTTTTTTACGGTCAGAGAGAGAGACGAGAATCTGTAAGATTTGCTTTTCATGAATGCCTAACCTATTCTTTTGCATTCTGCAGTTCACAAAGGACTACTGTGTATTCCAAAAGTTATTTTGTGACAGATGGTAGGTCCTTCTCTCTTGAACTATGCTGTAGCAAGGATGCTATAGAGCCAACACTGTATAATGAATCAAACCTGCAAAATCAGGTATCTCCCAATGGCTCCAGCACGTGGGAATGATCTCTTCTGTTCCATTTCAAATCCGCTGCGCATTAGATCAGTTCCTTAAGGAATTACTTTTAATAATAATTAAAAAAATCTTAAGAAAGCTGGAGGGGTCATCAGAAGAGAGAGGATAGCTCTTCCATCCATCACCTTTTATAGATATCCTCTAGCCACTTTTCATCATCTTCTTCCTCATCATTTATTGGTTCTTCTGTTTCCAGGGGAGAAGGAATGAAGAACTCAGGTCTGGGACTCGGTTTCCTGATATGAGACTTCAGTCCAAACTTGCGCTTTAGCAGGTGGAATTGTTCTTTGACATAGTAATAGAACTCATATTCATATCTCATGCGTTGGTAGAGGACCTGTATTGCTTCTGGAGAGGGGACGGTCTTTTTCACTGTCACAGTCAGATTGCCAAGTTTCCTATGTTCTGTAAAGAAAGAACAAGCAGCAACATGGTGGGTTCTGATTAGTGAGGCCAGATGAAACTTTTTAATTTAAACATTAAGGCATGGCCCTGCTACATTCCTGATACCAATGAGTTCAAGTTGTTTCTAACAATGGATTTACTTTTAACAAGAAATGGAAAAACCCTGATGTTTGAAGTCAGACTTGCATGTTTAAATACGGCTACTTCACACAGGTCTTGTCTGCAGTCACCAAAGATCCTGATTGTCAATGGTTACCTGAAAATGCAAACTACATCATATGAACTATGAGCATGAGCCACATGTAGCGAAACTCACAATCTTGCCTAGCTTTGAAAATTTGACATCAGGCACGCCACCAAGCTTAACTAATCAATTATTTCCTATGTGGCATATGGTGACCTGTCTATGCTGTGCTTTATTATAGTTCAAATCTAAACAGATACTTATCAACCTGAATCCATCTCAGGGTAGCACCAAAGGATTGCTGGCATCACCACATGACACCTTAACATGTGCCTCTTAACTTTCTCATCCTGTTATACCTGTTAATAGAACTAGACTCATCTTCCTGTCATGCCCTGGAAGATTTCACTACTTTTTTGTTCACACTGACACTTTTGCTTTGGCAAACTGAAATACAAACCTTTTATTGTTGATAAGGAAGTAAGAGTTACTAACAAAAATACTGAATTGTCTCTTTGCCCTCTCTCTCAATAAATGAGTCTGTCCCTGGAGATGAATGTATTCAAATAAGGTAGAAAGCAAAATCTGAAGGCAATAATTTTGCTCTTTTCTAGATGGCAATTGGCTGCCAGAGCATCCCAAGTATTTTCATCCTAAGTATGTAACATGGGAACCTAATTCTTACTGTAACAGCAGTTCTTCAAGTCAGAAGTATTCAAAAGGGTCAGGCCATGAAGGACAGCAAAGAAAAAGCTAAGATGGAGGAAGCAGACAACAAAGAACATTAAATGTTTCCAGCTGGGTTCCAGTGGCAGCAACCACCCTCACTTCCAGAGGGAATGCCTGAATCAAAATGTGATTTTACCATGGGCAGAGTGTTGCTCATGTGAGGAGAACATATGGAAGTCTTCTGAAGCACCTGCCAGCAAAGCTTAACAAATGCTTAACATCTCTACAGAGAAACAGATTTTCACAATTGCTTACACATAAAGCTAAGGGATGCAGGGCTGGTTCCTAGCAGAGAAGTGAGTTGCTCTTGGGATCCCACAAGTGATCTGTTTATCCAAGAGAAATAATCAAGAATAGCTTTTTAGGGAAGAGAGGAACTTTAAACAAAGAGAAACCCTTTTACCCCAAGAGGTCACACAATACTAGTAAGTCCATCTAGCAAGCACAACAGCAATGATCTTTAGAGAAAAAGTTGGTATAAGATTTTAAATCTTGAAAAGTCCAACAGATGGGCAGAGCACAGCATTGAACATGAACTGCTTTCTTTAAAATTTAAAAGATTAATATTCATTTAGCATAAGGTATCCACACTTGTAAAAAAATTCAATTTTCAGTTGGTGAACATACATTTTCCTCCTTCAGAGTAAAAGAATTAGAGAAAAACAATTCAGAATATTTTAATAATACTACATGAGACAAGTACTGCTGGGATGGACATCTTTTTAATCACTGGACTTCACTGTGTCACACCCATCTGGTGCAGAAGAAAAAAGTTATATCTGAAATATGTATCTCTGAAATTGTTTTGCTTATCAACTGCAGCAGAGTAATTTGAAATGCAGGAAGAATGATACAAAGGGAAGACATGTTGACTAGCTTACCCAATGCAACACTGTTCTAAATCACAAAAAAATTATTTAAAACATTAATTCTATTTTGCATTTATACTTTTAATTCCTTCTCTAAAGGAAGAATGGTTTTTATTAGTTGGTAACTATTAAAACATACTACTTTGTAATTAAATGGAACTTTTACACCGAAGTTAGTAGTTCTTTACACTGAAATCTGTCTCTACTCATATATGCAAGTAATTAAACAACTGAGTACACAGAGTTCCCTGTTCTTTAATTACAGTGATGTAAGGTGAAATATGCTCTATATTTACTGACTGTTTATCAATTTGCTTAGTTTTATTTAGATAGTAGTGAAATTATTAAAATATACAAAAAAAACCCCAGGAAGAGAGATGCAATCTTAACATGCTATTTAGCTAAGAAAAGGTGTAGAGGAAGGATCAGGAAATGCTTGCATTTCAAACAGACAATGTCATAGAAAGCAGGACCTGTGGTTAATGAATAGTGTGAAGTATTTTTGGTGAAAATATCTGGGTTTCCCAAGAGCTTATTCTCTTCTGCACCACCTTCACCCATAGACAAGAACAGATTCACAAATATGTAATTTAAATTTTTAGTCAAGTTGTTCAAGTTACCTTCAAATTGCCATTGTGTATGAGATGACTACATTCCAGAAAGGCCAATGTACTCAGTCTGTCCTTGGGTGAGAAAACTTTCTTATGATTATTGAGCACTTCAAGACACTCCTCTTTATTGTGTTTAACTGATAGCTCGTGCCAGCTTTGCAGTCTGGTTTTCTTTACAAATTCAGCAGCAAATATACACTACTAAATATTGCATTTATTAGCTTAAGCCTTTATACTGCCTGCCAACTTTGTTTTTATTTTACGTAAGTTATTTCTGCTACAGAAAACTCCATTTAGCTCACTGGAAAAAGCTCTTTGCTTATATGGTCCCTCCAGGACTGTAAGTGGGGAAAGCCACTTTCACAGCTCCAGCTCCCTTAGCGCTGCTCTCCTAGCAGAGAGAGGCATTTGTGCTGAGCCCAGGAGCGCTGCCAACAAGGTGAAAAGCACGAGACTGCTTTCTGTGGGGGGCAGTCTGTAGGGGCAGGAGCAGCCAAGGGCAGCGTGCTCCCAGGCAGGGAGCCCAGCGCTCTGTGTCCCCTGGCAGCACAATGCACTCCTCCTCTGGATGTGCTGCTGCAGTGGCACAGGGGTTTCTGGAGGTGTGCAATTCTCTGCTCTGCTCACACACCTACCTACAGAATGTCCAAGCAGACAGGAACAGCCACACTCTGGAAGGCTGCAGGGGCTGTGTAAATTTTCTGGCTCCTGTTTGTTTGCCTTGCAGCACAATCATTGGAACCACAGAGCATGAAGAGCTGTGAGGTGTGGGCTGTTGGGTGGTGTGAGTTGGGCCTGTGCCTGGCTGCAAACTCAGCCTTTTGATAAAACAAGTGAACTCAGCCTAAATAAAGTTCAAGCACAAAAAATAGCAATGTTTTAATCTTAAATACTCTTGAAAGGCTCTTTAATACAAATACGGGTGAAATCACAAAACTGCCCCTTGAAGTCACCTCAAGTACCTCTTCTCATCATAGAAGCAAAATGGAAAATTAGGTAGATCTGGCTTAAAGCCAAAATACCAATCTGCATATGCTACATAAACCACGCTGCCCCACCAAAGGACCCCCATTTTATGACCTTTGAGACAGCTACCCAGATGGAGGGCAACAAACTATACCATTTACTTCTTAGAGTTATTTTTTAAAAAATATGTTTGCTTTGGCATTATTTTCAATTACTAGAAGAATGTACTATACAGTAATGCACCTCCCAGGGCAGCCTGCTCATACCTTAAATTAGGACTAAACTGGTATGCAGATAGGAATGAAGAAAATTAGATTCTTTTGGGTTACCACTTGATGAGTGTTTACTGTTACTTTCCACACTCTCACTTTTTTTTTTTTTAACTAAGAAATGGACATTACTCACTGCAGCAATCCAAACCATAGGGAAAAGTGAGTTTTATAACTTGTGGCTCCAAAAACCCTGAATTGCCATATTTAGACAAAATGATCCTAAAGGCATTCTCCACCTCAGAAGAAACTTTCAGAACGATGTGCTCTCCAGTGTCCTGCTGTTTTGGGGGGTGCCGTGCAGAGGCTGCTCCTGGATGGAGCCACAGGGAGCCAGTGTCCCTGGGGCCCTTGAGGAGAGGTGAGGCAGTCTGGAGGCTGCACAGGGGGCTGCAGGCCAGCAGAGCCGTGGCGTGTCCGGCTCACACCCGCGGTGGAAGAACGCCACGCCGAGCTGCGCCGCTCCCACGGCTGTGAGAGAGAACACGGTGGCTGTCACTGACACAGCAAACTCATTTCCTGCAAAGGGCAGGGAGGCCCCACGTCTCAATTGTATGCAGCCGAGTTACAGCACATACCTACTTCTCCAGAGTTTTAAATGGAAAGAAATGTGTGTCACTGTGGCTGGATGTGACATGTGAAGGGGCGAGGGTCTCTGCTTGATCTGCCTCTCATTGCTGTGGTGCCAAGCAGGGCTCTGATGGCTACACTAGAAATTCGCCTCTGGAATGTTCAACTGCAGCTTAGCAAAAAATTTTATGGCACAATTGATTTGCTTTACAAACTCGAAATTTTTAGCCAGGCACTTGAAGGATATCTGGAAAAGGACATTTCAGGGAGAATGGATGAGACACCGATGTGCTGGGCTTGCATGTCTTTCCAATGGCCACTGGGCTACTGCTGCTCAGGAGTCTCAGCACAGGGCAGGTCCCTGGATCCGAGCTGGAGGAGGGATGGTGTGCAGCAGCCACACTCTGTGATGGAGCACCTTGCTTTGGCTCACACTTGTTAATGGAAAGCAGGGATGGTGGGAAAATCTAACAGAGACACTGACCAGAAATATATTAAAAATCAAAAGTGATGGAAAAGTGAAGTATCAATTTGTCCCACAGTATCTACCAACTTCATCCAAAATACCATGAATCCCAGTTATTAACCTCTTTACTAGAGGTTAGTTTAGTCTCAGTTATTCACACCAACAAAATATGGCTTCAGTTTTAACAACACATAGGTAAAGATTGGACCCTCACGTGCATACTGGTGACAGCTTGCTTGGCTTCAGCACTTCTGTCCTGAATTATTGTGGTGCTTTGCTGACACAGAACAACTCCTAACTCCAGGGGATTAGGAGAACTCTCACACACTGGCACAC